AGAGCTTAAATTAGACAAGTCTAGGTTTTCGTTTTGGTGAATCTGCATATGACTTTTGAATTCTGTACTAGAAAAATGGTTAGAACTCTCATTTATGTAGATATTCAAAATGCATACCAAATTAATTAACTTGTGATTAATGTGTTGTATTTATATAAGATGTACAAGAGGGTTATTATACTCTCACCATGTTAGCGCTGCTTTTGGTAACTATTTTGGGTTGCAAAAACCCTTGACTAAAGGAATGTAACATAGATCTTTTAATGTACATAAGTAGGAGAAACATTGTGTACAAATTTGCACATTAAAGATTGGGTCTGTGTGATTATACCAGATTGATTAAAGGCCTTTTCATTGGTCGATTTAAAAAACGTTTGTATGAAAATTAAATTGAGTTGCAGTGTTACAATATATTTCTGGAACTCCTATAAATATTCAGTAAAAACTGGTTGTTTTAAAATCTGTACAAAGGAGTATACATTAAAGGTATAAATACATCTTTTTATGTTGGTAAATATATATAAAATTTTGAAAATTGTATTACAATTTTCAAAGGGAGTGTGCATGATTTGTACATCGTTAGTGAAGGGAATTTAATGTTCAGATTTATATTGTAGCAATACTGTAGTTGTAGAATGTGACATTAATGTGTATGTTGTTTATAATGCAGTGTGTAAAATGTAAATTGCTTCATAAATATGTTATTTTGATGTTGCTTTATAATTGTGGGATATGGGCGAACGTTTTGTTAAATTTTTTGATGGTGTAAATTGGTTGTAGTAGAAGCAGTAGTAGTAATAAATGATCCCTTACGTTAATAGAACTGTAAGATACCAACTCTATGAAGTATGTTAAAGAGTTTCTTTCTTTCTTTTCTTTTTTTAATTTGAATTAGATTGCAAAGTTATTTATTACAGTAAAACCATGCACCAATATTTTGTACTGATAATATGTAAACAATGTCTGATATGTTTATAATGTTTGCTATCCACGATTGCTAATAAAATTCTTGTAAGTTTTTATGAATTTTCCCCTTATTTTTCACGTACAGTAAGTTGTGAAATGGTGTTGCTAGCCGTAACTACGCTTCGTGGTCGCGGAGGTCAAGCAAATCGAGACATGACGGGATCATGGGTGTGCGACCGTCTGGAAACCTTGGAATTCTTGGCGCCGAGCCCCTGGCCGAAGGGATGAAAGGCAAATGGCTGACGATGACCGACTAGATAAAAGGAGAATTACTCCAAACGTGCTGCTGATTCTAGGAGTAAATCGTGGCGTATGTACTCGAGTAAGAAAACTCATGATGAAATGGCGTGCTCTGCTCTGGCCCCTCCATATCATCGCAGCACCAGACACGTCACGAACCACCAATCGGTTCTCTGTTTAAAAAGCCAGGCTAGACGCTGGCCGCCACGCTGCATGGCAAGGGAAAGTGTTAAAGGGACCTTTTGAAGGTGTAATAAAGCGGAAATTTTCAACGGTGACCAACTAAAAATACAGATGTTTTAATGATATAGATGTGATATTTTGGTATCTGGATGCTTTAAAATTCGCGCATTAGTGTGACAAACTGGTGCTTCAAGCTCCTTGACCGAAGCCGGATAGGCTGCGAAGCGGCTCAACCATGGCATTGCATGATCACCCTCAAAAGGCGCGATGAAAAGCGTACGTGGGAGTCATTCCCCTGGACTTTACTCAGTGTTCGTGGAACCGACCTTTATACACACGTTTTCTCGAGCCCCTGTGCTGTCCAAACCCTGCGGTGTCCTAAACTTTACCCCTATCCTAACTCCTTCCCAATTCTGGCCGCTGAGTAATGACGCATGAGCGCGTACGTGGAAATGCTACCTAGCGGTTCTCTTCAAGACATACGGAGGCCAATATTTTCTATAGTATATCATTATAGTATTGTTTAACGGAAGATTACTCATATATAAATTCGTTCAACGCCAAGTTCTTTGCTTGTGAACGTTTGTTCTTGTAACGTTCTTTGCTTGTGTCACAGAAATACAATAGTGATAGAATGTTAGCGGAAAAACTGCTTGTTCCTCCGATTGATTTTCTTCAATTGTCATGTTTAATCTGTTCGAAATTATTTTCGAGAATATTTTGAAAATTTGACGTGCTTATTGACCAGTAGTTGTGGTATTCGATTTCCATTCTTCAGGTAATTCTCTTTCTTGCAACATTTTGTTGAAAATAATGGTTAGTGGCAGTATGAGTTCAATTTCAAATATTCATTTATTATATTATCTTCGGGTCATTTATTTGGGCGTATCAAAATATGCCAGAGTTCAAAATGTGCAACCTTGTAGAGCATTTTTTAAAAGTTAACAATAGAGATGTGAAAGATCCGGCAACTGGCTAATCTCTTCAATTTTTTATTATTCTTAATTTCTGATATTTCTATGGATCTTCAGCCACATGATTCAACATCAGACGTTTCCACAGAAACCTTAGATACGATGTTCGTTTCCGAAACGTTTTTCAAAGAAATTCTGAAATAATTGGTAAACTAAAAAATAAATCTTCGGTCTGTTTAGATGAATTGATGATTGTTTAATACTACAGAAACGGCAGCGTACAAGCGACTGACAGTTCTCTCTACGTTCTGTGGTTTGTCATGTGACCTGCCCTGAAGCAATCAGCTTGCAATGATTTGTTTACTTTCTCAGCCCGGGTTTAGCGTTGCTTCTCATCTAACTCGCGTGGAGTCGCTAGAGAAGCTCGCAGATTCCAGTCATCAGCAGTATCAGTGCGAATGAAATGCGCCTTTCCAGATGCGTACCAGGCCAGTTGGTGGGTGACTTTCGAGTGCTTCAGTGTACTGGACTGATGAGATATGTGAGGGCTACGAATCACCGCGCAGACGTAGTATTGTTAAGGAGTCAGGTTCGTGAATTTATGTATCGCTTTCGCGAAAATTTCGAGGCAGAAAAGGCGGAATATTATTACCTCTCGACAATGTTAGGGGGAGAGTTGCGGCTGCATTGCTGATAGGCTTGGTGACACCCGGAGCTGACACATCAAACTTTCAATGTGGTTTGGGAGGTGATAAGGTTAGGTTATGAACACGATATCAAGACGTCATCGCCTGTCGGTAAGTGTTAATGTTTTGAAATTAATCTAATTTCTCACATAGGTGGTGCCCATATACTCAGTAAAGCGTGGTAATAGCTTATCGAACTGTCAGTCGCTTAACCGCTGCCGGTACTGTTGTGCTCCTGCCATTATACACATGTAAACTAAGATATTAATGCATTCTTATGTACCGTAACATTTCCAGATATTTTCAAAATTCGAGGGTTATTTCATAAATGATGCACAGTATTTTATATTTTCTTACACGTTTATTTTTTTGAGAAAATCTCTTTACAGTCCTTCAATTTATCTCCATTCTTTTCATTTACCGAGTCATCGACTGGGAAGCTTTAAAATTCCATCAAATGCCCGTTCTTTGTTCGTCAGACGAAAAGTTCGGGTACCGGTTGCAGAAAGCTCGTTGTGGAATAAAAACGATGTTCTCGCAGAGGGTGTTTTTTTCAAAGTCTGGTGGACTTATATATCGACTAGGGGGCATGTAACACGTCCCAACCACATCATGGAACTTTTCTTTTCGACTTAGACCTTGTGTGGGCGAGCGATGTCTCGGAGAATGAGTCGAGTAACAGAGGTGGGGTTTTGTGCATTTGAAGTATCAATCATTAAAATGTTTCGAAATATGAAAGTTACTGAAATTTCTGTGGCTTGAGTTTTTTTCAAACGCCGCATGACGATCTTTTTCAATAACCTATGCCACAAATTTCACACTTTGTTCATCTGTCGTTATTTTCCCGGTATTTATTTGTCGTCTTCCCGGTCTTGGCTTGTCTTTTATCACATTACCTTCATGAAATCAACTAGCCCAAAGGGAAACTCTGCTGCAGACCACTGTAAGCGTATCACACACTTCGTCAGACTCAATCAGCATTGACTTACCTTTAAAATAATATTTTCGTTCCTTTTTTAATTGTAATGTTTTAAATACTTTTCCCACATTCTCATTTTCACACTCATCTTAAATATATGCGCTTAAAAATATTACCACAGAAACGCTTACATATACATGCCTTTTTCCTATGGCTTAACGGAAAATGTTGGCAGTGACACTGTACCTCCAAAAGATAACTAATTTTTGGCGTGTTCTAAAATTAACTGCAAGGTTTGCAATGTGATATATTACGCGCACGACAAAGACGCAATGGCTTTTTCAGAACCCACCCTATTCTAGAGTTCTAAAAACTAATATCACTCACTTTTCAAAGTAAATTTGAACGAATTAGCAAATAATTAATGAAGATCATATACACTGTAAAAAACTAAAAAATCAAACTCACTGTCAACGTGGTTGTTTTTTGAAAATTTCGACTTAATCTGAAAACCCAACCAAAACCGCAAGTTTTGACTCATATCCGCCCATTGGGCGGTATTCCGCGAAGTCAATTTTTTTTTTCCGCGACAGCCGTTTTCCAGCCCTAAATGCGGAATTCCGCCCATCTGGCAACCCTGACGTTGATCACACGGACGAACGGTTTTGTCGTCAGTCGATTTTTCGGCATCAAGGATATACAAAATGTGAATTATGGCTTCACCAATTGATAGAGGAAGTAATTTACTACTTATAGGATCAGGATTTATCCACTTTTTCGGTACCAGGGTCCAGCAATAAAAAATTGTCTTCCGAAAATTCGCAGTTTTCCGGCGCACGATTACATAACTCACTTCTTAGCTAAGTGCGAGAAAATAAAGAACAAAAATCACATAAAGTTGCCGAAGAAAGTTTTTCCATAAGAGCCTGCATTAATTTAAACTTATTTCATTAAAAAATAGTTTGACAAGATATAATTTTATTCCATATTGAAGAATAGATGATATACTACTATTTATTTAAAGTTTCTTGGGGGTACTTCACCGTGGTCGATCGGCCGAACATACGTAAGGCTATCGACAAAAAAAAAATACCCTTGAAGAATATGACTTTAATGTTGTTTTGTACAAAGTGCACTTATATACAGTAATAATTAACAATAAATTACATGATTTTCAACCCTGTCAAATTGAATTTATAAAATACAAGTTGTAGTTTACAATTTTCTGCTTTTTTATTATCCTTGTGCTTGAGTATTCTTGGATAAGAGTAAAAACGGCGAGGCGTGTGCGCATCTGGTCTATTTTTAGAGCAAATAATAATTTTCCAACACGATAGAACGCAGGAATAATAAATAAAATCTTTAAGATAATAATGGTATATTTTTCTGTCAGTGAAGATATTTATTACTTCTTTGAAGTTTATTTAGGTTTACTCTGAGTATTTACTTATATTTTTCTTCACATTGTTTCTTATTTGAAAATAATATACCATTTGTATTAATTCGCAGGCTAAAATAAGTACTACAAACGTGTTTGCTGAAGCCCTGAGTCCGCCAAATATTGACCAAATGGTCAAGAAAAACATCTTTCAAGTCCATTAAAATAGTATTAGGGTACATAATTGTTTAACCAAACGCTGTCGTACGAATAGGTTTTAAAATTACATTATTAAAAACATTTTGTTGACATTTTAATTCAATAATAGTATTAAATCAGTCTCTTTCACGACGAGAAAAGGAACTTTTTTCTTTATAATGTTTACTAACATTATTTTTTTATTAGGATAATCAAACTTTTTTCTGCTCAGAAACATAAAAAGATAATCCTTTAGAAAATTATATATTAATATTTTAATTTTCTTTTAGTTATTTGTGAAATACGTATCGTAAGATATTTTGATCCGAATATTGAACGTTTTATCTACTTTGTAAACACTCGAGTGAACAATTATTTTGTTTAAATTTAACTATTCATCTTGCGAAAAGTGACATAGAGACGTTGATAGTAGTTAATAGAATGCTTTGGAATAGTTCCAATATTACTTAATTACGAAACTGATAAATGTTCTTAATAGAGGGCCATGGATTATTAGAACGTTATCTCTTATTACGAAACTGGTAAAGTTTGACTTCCGATAGTCTAAGTCGATAAATGTCTATTATGTATTTAATACAACATTGATAATAATAAATAAGTCAATGAAATCAACTTTTTAATTGAAAATGTCCTTGACAGACCATGGAAAACGATGATTTGAAATCATCTAGAAAAGAGTGAATGAAGGATGAGTGGATGTCTTTAATTTGAATTTTAAAAGAAGGCGAAAAGTGCATAGAATTGTGTTAACTAGTATTCCCGAAATCTTCACGCACTTTGTTTGTTATTCTGTATAAATTTGTCATCCATATTGCCCTTCTCTTCTTTATCTTGTTTCGAATCAAGAAACTGCATTTCTCGAGCGTTTCCTTCTGGCGAGTTCCAGGGTTGAAGTTCCGATGACGCAAAAACTAAGTACAGCAACCCAGGCACTATGAGGAGAATACTGACTATTACGAAGACTAGCAGCCATTGACCTGTAGTTTGCTGAAAGCACAAGGTACAAATATTATTAGCAACCTTCTTCTTTGTAACAGTTACAAATTAGAACTAGTTCACAACATTCAGTTGAAAATGTACATTTGTATTTTAAAATTTTCTGTATAAAGGAAGTGGTTTTGTACTCCACAGAACAGAGAATAAGTAAAAAGAAGAAAAATGTTGCTTATTACGAGTTAGATTCCTTTATTTTAAAACTAATGTAATGTTAATGTGTAATGTGAAAATAATTTCATTTCCGATTTTATCAGTGATTTACCTGATGATGTGAAGAACCATTTGAAGAAACGCCGTAAAATTAATGTTTTTTAAACTTCAACAAATATTAGTACAAATATTGGTTATTATATCTTTGATTTATCTAAATCCAATGAAACTCATTGATATTGGAAGTCAAATTTTCATTAAAATTGTTCGGTGTTTTGCAAAATGATGTGATGCCACTTGCAAGATTACTTTTAAAACATTTTGTCAATTTGTAAAACACATGTTACTAGCCAACATCAATATTGTTAGAACTGTACATCGCCTTCTTTTGTATAGCCACTACTAGAAATTTGTTTGAAGTGGTTCTTTTACTTAGTATTTATTAGTATGATTGAAGGTCAATATTTAATACCTTTCAGTGTGAGGATTAGGGCCTGCATGGCGTGGGCTGTACTTACGTTTTGGAAAGTGAGGAGGCTGACGATGAGCGGCGAAATGAACGCCGCCGTAAAGCTAAGCGTGCAGCTGATGCCCATGAGGATGCCTGAAAATTATCATTTCCTTTTAAAAATCCGGTTACACAAGTTGTTTACATTAGCCAGAATCCACAAACTACATTCTGCATATTTCTACGTACGTATACATTCATACTTTTGTTTTAATTCATATACTAGTGGACCCAGCAATGCTGCGCTATTGCAGTGTATTTACATATACCGCTACTGTTCCCGTGATTGTTAATCATGTTTTACTCTACGCTCTGCAAAGTTTTTTAATAGATGAAACACTTGCTCGCAAGTATAGGTATGTTCTGTATATGTTTTGGACATTGTTGTCAAGCATCTTATTGTTAAAACATTCTCCCTTAAATTTGGGCATGCGTTCGGTATGGTACTATCTTGGAGAAATTTGAGGTACTTGTATGAGATTCAAGTAATAATACCGGCCGATATTGCACAATCGCAGGGGCAGAATACTTGACTGTGCGGCGGGTTGCGTAGAGTTCAGGGACGCTTGAGTCGTCATAAACACATCATCTGCAATGTTCCCATTTGTTCGTTTTGATTCAAACCACTCTTTAAACACGTCCATTTCTTATAAATACAAAGTGTGAAAATTTCAGCGAAATTGGTTGATAATTTTCTACGTGTAGGTGTGTGACACATGCGCACATTCCCTTTATATATATTTTCCTCTGTTTTGCTTTGTTTACTTTCAGTGATTTGAATACAGCGTATTTATACCATAAGGCATAGGGTCTTTGGAATTCAATACCGTTACTGTAATCGTACGTTAAGATATTTTTCAGAGGCATTTGGTTAGTTTATATGATTATAAATAATTATATATTAATAATTAATATATAATAATTATATATTTTAATAATTTATTTTTATTTATGATACATTTTGCTTATAATGATAATCTTTTTGAGAACTAATGTAATCCCAAATGCAGAGTCCGTTTTGATGATTATCTGAGATTCTAAAAAGACACGTATCTTTCTGCAAGAGTCTAGACTGTAGTTTTGGGTATCTGCCTACTTTTGAAATTTGTCCAGGATGGTCAGAAATTTTGTGCCATTCTTTCATTGCCGTGTCAAATTCTAAGTGTCAACATCGAAGAGTCTTTTGTCTAGGTGCAATTGTTTTAATGTGGTACAGAGTGCCTAGTTGTAACTAAAAGCCCAAGAAGCGAGGTTTCGTATCGGGGCGTTTCGGGCGAGGCGAGGCGACGCAAGGCGAGAGTCGAGTCATGGCGAAGGGCGAGTCGGGGCGAGAGACGAGGCGAGAGTCGTGGCGAGAAGCGGGGCGAGAGGCGAGGCGGAGCTTGCTACACACTCAACCTGCCGAATCGACACCTCACACGGCGCATGTGCGTATCTCGACGCAGGGAGGTCCCGGTCAACGTGTCCAGCTGTCGCCGGTATAAACCGAGCACACGGTTTTAGATGGGTGTTTGCTCGAGGATGTCGGGTTGGTGCATGGGGTTGTATCTCAATCAGCTTGGTGAGAAATATGAAGCATTTTGGCAAGACCCCTTCATGCTCTGGCGCTCGTTTGAATAGTTTAACATATCATTTGTATTATTTACATTGTATGCATGTAATTATCTGTACAACATTACGACCTTTGCTCACAGTCAAGCCTTCTCGGGGGGCCCAGTCCGAAAATCTGTCGGACGGAACAAGTATCAGCAAATATCACGAACTTTCTCGCACCACGTTGCTGGTGACAAATATGATCCCCAAAGTTGTAGTGTTCTAACCTCCAATGTTTTCAAACGCAGTAAGATGTAATGGGTGGCAAATATCTGTTAAAGCAAAGAGATTTTCCGCGACTTTGCACCCGCCATACATAGGAGCAATTGCAAATATTGGGTATCTCCTTACTTGTGTCGAATTTTGCAATATTTGATGAGGTCGTTGTTTACATTAATGAAAACTCGAAATTTAAATTTGACCCGGGTAAGTCTGGACACTGTTGCTTTTCAATTTAATGTTGAAGTGTACTAATCGTTTTGTGCTCTGAATTATTCTTATGAATTTTTTTTCTCACCTGCAAAATTGGGGCTGAGATCGACAAAACTCGCTAGAGGTCCGCAGGATATGGCTCCACTTACTGCTGTTGCTGCAGTCATACATATTATGGCTGATACATAATTACATCCAGAGAATGCAGAACCTAGCGTCAGCAGCCCCATCACAATACAGCCTGTAACACATGATGCATTGGTTAATTCAATTTTCCATGAAAATCAATCCAAATACATGAATAAGTAACACAATCAATGAAAATATATAACATATCGTATGATAAATTCAATTATATTGACAAAAGAATTCCTTTCTCATCTTTCTTGTCAACTAACTTTTAAATTTAATGCGTCTTACAACCAAGCAGGGCCTCTTATAATAAGCGCTGTGATTATTATGACTCCCCCAGAAAAGATATTATTTATACATTGGGAAAGGTGTCAAATAAAAACTAGTGGGAAAACGCAAAATACTGAAACGTCTCTTGGTGTTAATACAAATGTAAACAAATACAAATGCAACATCTTACAAATGTAATTTGGATGAAAAGTGGCTTGGGAAGTTGGAAAGCAATATTTCTAAAGAGCGTTATTGCTTTTCACTTTCTTGCACACGTACGTATATACACGAAATATGAATAAAATATGGTACCTAGGATGGAGACAGTAATGCACCTCCACAACAGTAACTTCGTATTCATGAATTGGAATGCAAATGGAGTATCAAGCAAGAAAGTTTAACTATCCTATTTCTTCTCTTCTTCTTTTCGAGACGGGTTTCTACCCTTAGAGTTTGCCGTTTTCGATTTCATAATTCTCGGTTTCCCCATTGACCCTCTTCAATCCTTTCTCCTCCATAACTTCGTATATATATTCTTCCAGGTTAAACAAGGCCTACGTCTTCTACTCTTCTTTCAGGTATCCAATTTATAATTGTTTTGTCCATCTCTCTTTTCGCATCTCTGGAATGTCATACTATTGAAGAGCTTTTATTTTCTAGTCTTCTGTTATGGTTGTTTGAACCCAGCTCTTTCCACACCACTTCGTTCCTTAGTTGTTACCAGTCTTATCTGCAAAGACTTCTCATAAAGTTGAGCTCTACCGACCGTATTCTGTCTCCTACTGGCGTTTTGTTAACGGCCACATTTCTCGCCTCCTATACTATAAATATTTTCCACAATACTGTGGAATATGTGTCGCTTTGTGTCTTGCCTTAAAACATATCCATATAAGCCATGGCAGAGCTTTAATTGCATTCTCCCATTGCGAGTCTAAGTAGTTATATTATCATCAATTTTTCCATCGTCGTAATTACCAGTCCCAAGGTATTTAAATTTCGAACGTTAGCTATCTCGTCATCAAGCGACATATATTAGAGGCATCTCCTTCCTATGCATAAATATTCTGTCTTTTTAAAGGTTGATTTTAAGTCCAATTTTTCGTATTCTTCTTTTAATTGCGAAGGCATATCTCATATTTCCGCATCTGATGCCATAATTACCTGATCATCTGCAAAAAGCAAAGATAATGTAAGCCCTTGTATTTATGGATCCATATTGAGAACATTTTTTGTACACAAGTTCCAAAGTTGTTCCATAAATATAATATTATATATATTATATATATATAATATATAGAGAAGTGGCGATTAAGGCTAACTCCTTGCTTTTAGGCCTTGTTAATTCTAATGCTTCGGGTAATTTTCCCCCATTTTATGCACCGCTTCAGGAATTCTGTACACTTTTTGGTAACTAAACTTAATCCATTTTTCTCATTTCATCTTTTCATTTGCTGGCCAAATTTACATCTTGGAACACTGTCATAGGCCTTTTCCAGGTCAATAAATGTCATACTAATGTATCTATATTGTGCATTCCATTTTTTCTATTATCTGGCGTAAGCAATGGATGTTTCCAAACATGACCTCCCACTCCTAAAACACTTTGTTCTTCGCTGTAAAAGTTATTCCTTTTTTGTAATTTTCCTTAGAATACTAGCGAATAGTCTAGCTATTGATGGGATGACACTAATTCCTCCTGTAATTTCACAAATAGTTTTGTCACCTTTCTTGTGTATGGAACTGATGTATGACATATTTCATTCCTGCGGGATATCACGCGCTAACTTCAATTCTATTTAAAAAGATTTTGAGGTATTCAATAATACTTGAGCCTCGGTATTTTAAAAGGTTCCATTCTAAGGTTTCCTGGTCCTGGAGCTTTATTGTTTTTGGCTCTCGCCAAAGCCCTCTTACATCAAGCCGACTAATTTCAGGTTCCCATTTTTGCCAATGTGTGCATTCCAAATCTTGTTGGGTATTCGAACTCTATTTTCTTGCAATAATGTTTCGTAGTAGTCAAACCATTTGTAGGAGTTATTATTTGTACTTTGCTTCTGTTACAGTTTTTCCTCATTTTTATTTGTTTCCCATGCTTCAGTTGATCTGTTATATCCCAATGTACTATCTTATATCCCTACATAATCTCTCCCAGTGTTCATTTTTTTCGATTTTACTAATTATTTAACTTCATTCTCTTTTCTACATATTCCTTCCGTGTGTCGTCATTCCTATTTGAAATCCATGTCAAATATATTTTTTTCTTTTCCTTATCATGCTTTCTAAATCTTCACTAAATTCTCTCTACAACTTGCTTTTTTCTTGTTCCACTCCTAGAACTTCCTTAGCTGCTTCAAAAACAGCCTTTTTAAATGATTGTACATTTCTTCGGGACTTTTATCTTCTGAGTTTTCTAGCTTATTCTGAATTCTGTTTTGGTAGAGCATCTCAACACTGTACTGGTTTCAAAAGGTCTGTCTTAAAATTTACACTGTTTTCTTCAATTAAAAAGTCAGTATCTTTTTCAGTACATCTTCTTTATAATCTAAAAGGAAAACATGTTTGCTCACTACCATATGATGATCAGTTCACATTCTGGTTGACGGTATACTCTTAATCATTCAGTTTAACTCTCTTTCATTCTTCACCACAACTAATCAATTAAGATTGAATATTCTTACTGGATCTATTCGTGTATATTTGTGGATGTTTTATATCTAAACAACGTATTCCTACACATAGTGCATGTTCCTACATAGTTGATTAATCTTTTTCCATTGTCATTAATATTTTCCTCTCCGTATTGACCTACTACTTCACTTCTCTATTACCTACTCTGCTATTAAAATCTCCAATTAATATTATTTCATTTTGATACGGAATACTCGCTATAGTTTTGCTGAGTCTTGAAAGAACTTATTCTTTTCATCTACAAGTGCATTATCATTTACGGCATATTCCCCTAAAATTGTTATCTTGTGACCGAAAAACGTTCATGTCTATTCTAGTATCCTTTCATTAATATTCTCTATCTGTTTAATGAATTTTGTCCATTTACGTTTAATAAGGAAAGAGACTCTACTTCTTGCTCTAAAACTCTTTGGAGTACACCACTCCAAATATGAAGATATTCATTCAAAATTTCTCCCCTGTCCCTTTTTTTTCTCGTTTCCGTAAGTATATTATGTCCAGTTCATTTTTTCAATTTCTGAGATGACCTCCCTCTGCTTTGTTCGTAGGCCTTGTATATTCTATGTTCCAATTTTCATTGTCCGTTTTCGTAGCCTTTGTCGTAAATTTAATTTGGGTCCGTCCGAGGCATATTTAAATCGCTTTGAACTAAAGTTTTTTTTTATGGAGCCGGGATGTTAGCCTGCGTCCAACCCCATCATTTTAATCCTCGAGTAGATGTTTTTTTTTTCAGGTTGTCATCCTTAGGAAGGTTGGTTTCACCACACCTATGGAGGCCCCCCTCCCCCTTGGTTTTCTGTCAGGATTTCCTTCCCTTAGCTCACGGTTCCCGTTTTAAGGCGCCGGAAACTCGCCTTTCGTCCCACCCTTTCGTTACTCTGTAAAGTTCTCACCCGCAGAGAATCCAGGGCCACCACGAGGAGGTTTGGAAGGGATTTAATGACTCAGCCTTTACTACAAAGGCTCCCCATTACAGGGAGGGCTTTTCCTGGTATTTAATGGTGTATACCTATGAGCCTCAGTATACCCCATCAGGGCCCGAGTCACCCATTAGGACCCCTCCTATTTCTTAATAGCCAATAAAGCAAGAATAGACGTAACTACTCAAATGCACGTAAAACCTAAAGACAGCTTTGAAATATTCGGATTGAATTCACAAAGAGAAGATAGACCATCATCAGTAGGTTGTAGTGTGAAACTCAACTCGAACCCAACATACCTACTACTTCGAGAGTGCCCTGCGTTAACCTACCAATAAACAACGAAATCCACACCTAAGAGCTTTTTTAAACCACCTATAATATTTCAATAGCAAATTTGAATGAACTATTTAATCAAATAGTCCCCACTATAATCTTAGATTTGAACGCAAAAATCACACCCTGGGGCTGTAGAATTTCTAATCCGAGTAGGTACCTCGAAAAGATATCTCAACATCTTATATGTCAAATTGCAAATATACTAAATAAAACAACTCTTCACCCGATGAACATATAAAACGTCTGGATAATCTCCATACCAAATCCGAATTTCATTTTCACAAACACAATATGGGACCTCCACTCACATCACCTTTCCGGAATAATCTCGACACAACTACCATCATCTTAAATACCCTTCCATATCTTAAATATAAAACATATCAATCGAAAATATTTGAAAACCATACCTAATAATTCCACACCAAAATTCAATATTACAAATAATGTGATTATAAGACAATAAGAACAATCGATAATCACCCTAAACAATTTGTTATTTCACAAGGGTATCTAAGCGTTAGATGACAGACAGACTTCTTGAAATAAGAAAAAAACTACTTTTTAGGTATCAGGGGACCCCAAGACGTTTATTCCCGTTCAAATATCGAAATCGATTGTGCGATGTGGTCGTTGCTCCGAAAACCATGCCCCAGAAGATTATGTCGACGCAAATCTACATTGCGCCTAGAGTCAAAAAGCGCATGAAGCGAGTAGTCGAGAATGTCCTCTACACCAAAATCTGCTTCACAAAGGAATCCCATTTGGTACGCACTCCCACTTTTTCTTGTTACCCGCCCCAAACTTCTTTCAACTCGCAAACTGCTCCTCTACACTGGGACCCTTTGCCTACCCGGAAACCTAGTTATTACTCCCACAGTCAAAACCTTGA